TTAAGCCATACTACTTATATTTAAAGTCTAATAACTTTTGGCCCTGTATTCGTCCCAATCTAGGATTTTGCACAAATATTAAGAAGTATAATGTCTATCTGTAAAAAAAATTTAAAAGAAAAAAAAGAGCAATTTTTATTTTATAGCCATTTCCAGTTTTTGATAATAGGCTTTTTTTTCAATAAAATAAATTTTATGTCATATTAAAGAGCTATTTAACAAAAGTTAAATCATGTCTTTAGCTTAATTACTTTTTGAGATATTTAAAATTAAATATAGTGTATTTTTGAATTTCCGCATTTCTAAAGATGTCCATATCTCATGAAGTTTGAGAATTAAAATTATATATTTTTACTAGTTAGTGTATAAACTACCATCATACAAATTTTAAAAAAAATCGAAGGGGATCGGGTTGAATCTTCAGTTAATTTGATATGGAACACAACATATACAACAAAATGAAGAAAGAAAAAAGGGATAAAAAAAATAAGGGATTAAAAACGAAATTATATTCAAATCTTTTATCATATAATAACATAAATATTCTCATTGAAACCATGAAAAATATGGTTATAAAAAAATTCAAAATGAGATTACATTTAACAGGTGCTTTTCAACCATAGTTGATGGCACATATGATGTTTCGAAATCAGAAGCAATAGCTTTGGTAAGATTTGTTGAAAATAGTGAGATGCCGAAGTCTGTTGAAAGACTGATTGACATATATATTGTACGGGAAATACCACAGGTCTCGATATTAAGCATAATATAATATCCAAACTTGGCGATGAATTTACCACTTGAATTCCTAGTTGGGCAAAGTTATGATGGCGCCTCAAACATGAGTGGAAGAATCAATGATGTGCAGGCCTTGATTAGAGCAGAGGCGCCAAAGGCAGCTTTTATTTGGTGTAATTGTCATCGATTAAATTTAATCATTGTTCAATTATGCCAATCAATTAAAGAACTTGGAAATGTTCTAGGAATACTAGATGAGATTTATATCTATTTTAATGGTGTAAAAAGATATGAGGTACTCAAAAAATGTCAGTGTAATGATCTGAAAAAATCGCAACGATTTCTACGCAACAAGAATACCACTCGGGGTACTAGTACCTTATTTATTTAGATTTAAAATATTTTTTTTATCTAGAAGCAGGCTATCGTCATATAAAGCTATTGTAAATTTTTTTCTACTTTATGATGCCTTGAGGGTAGCTTTAACAAATTTAAAGGATTCTGAAGATCCTGCCACTTCCACTATGGCTAGTGCTATAGTCTTTAGAATAGAAAAATTTGATTTTATAAATCAAATTCAATTGGCAAAAGATTGCTTGATTAATTTGAGAAGTATAATATAAATTATTGTCTTAATTATTTTTTAATCTAATAGATAATAACACCGAATTTTTGGATGTTTTTTCAAAGGCACAAGATTTTATGAAGGAGAGAAATCTACCTTTTGATTTTGAAAGTTCTAGACTTCAAACATTACAATTCAAAAAGGAGAGGTATATATATACTTTCATCATTAAATATAGAAATGTTTTTTAGCTTTAAAATAGGTGTGTTTTATGCTGCACTTGATTTGATTATTATGCAGTTTAACGAAAGATTTAATGATGATTCGATGAAATTTTTACATCAAACATCATTTTTTACGCCAAAGGGAATGGAAGAAAAATTAATTATTAAAGAAGATATCGAAGATATCTGTGAATTTTACAATTTAAATTCAAGTCAAATTTTCAAAGAAATGTTGAAGTTTAGAAATATTTATAAGATGGCCAAAATGGGGAATGTAATTATTACTCATGACCGAGAGGTTCAAGAATCTAAAGATTTGTCAGATTCTGAGAATTGTAAATTTATTTAATTAAAATATTTTTACCAATACATTATTTAGCTTTTTCTGATGATCAGGGACTTACGATTCAGATTGGAAAAACTATTCATTTATTTTATCGTCTACTTTTAAATTTTTCTGCTTTCCCTAATTTAAGAATTTTATATAAATATTTATTAACCATTCCTACATCCTCATGTACTGCCGAAAGAGTCATGAGTAAAATTAAATTAATTAAAACAAGACTTCGTAGTACCATGAAAGATTCATTTCTCAATAATTTAACCATATTATCAATGGAGAAAAATTAATTTAAACAATTAAATATTGATGAAATTATAAATTCTTTCGCTTTCTCTTTCCCTAATTTATCTAAATTGTTAATTTAAAAATAATATTTATAAATTATATATTTTTTGCATTTTATTTATATTATATATTAAAAATTGATGCAATAAAAATTATCTTTGAAATTTATGGGTGTCATAAAATAATTATCATTTTTTCGAGGGGGGGGGGGTACTTTTCAATGGGGTATCTTCATTCGCTCAGAAAGTGTAGGGGCCACTGCCCTGAAGTCTAAAAGATCGATACGGTTACAAGAATTAGATGCAAAGAACCAATTACAAGAGGACGTTAGAAAACAAGAAAAGATTACAATAATTTAACAAGAAAATTTAAAAAGAACTTTAGAAGAAATAAAGGTTGTGAAGAAAGACTATATCAATCGATTTAGCAATCGTGAATCGTTGAAAAGCAAGCGTTAATCTGGTTGGTCAATAACTTACAGAGATAAAGAGCTAATCGTTAATCGGGGGGTTGACAAGCAACAGAAGATATGATTCGATAATTTCAAGCTGTTATTAAAAGAAATAAACTTGGCAAAGGCAATAAAGCGGTAATCAGATACAGACAGTCGATAGAAGCTAAGAATACTAGACAAGGGATGTACATAAAAGAAGAAGACGAACAGTAAAGACGAAATAGAAAGAAAGTTGGTCGTTTGCAGAATGGTAATTTAAGTGGAAGGGTGTTGTAATATGTAAATGAATACCATTCAAACGAATAATAAAAATAAAAAATGTTTAAAGACTATGTAAATGAGTATATTTCGAAGATAATAATTTTAAAAGAAAAAGATATATATAGATTGTTTATAGAATTTTCAGTCGTTAATTTTTGAGTAAATAATTTTTTTGCTACTTTTAGTTTATTTTAATTTTTCTTTTTAATTTGTTACTTTTCCTTTTATGTTAATTTAATATATTTTGCTTTATAATATAATTATGTTTGATCATGTAATAAAGTTATAGGGTTTTTCAAACTCCGTATTAAAGTTTCTTACTGCTGGTCAACCATCTCTTTTACAAAAAGGTTCAAACCGATTCACAGGCATTTAACAAGATTCGATTCAAGTGACAAATTTTTTAACGGTTCAGGTTTGGTAAATAATAATGGCTAATACAGATTTAACGAATCGGGGATCCTTGTCACTCGATTACCCAGAGTGCATAGAAGATGTAGCGGGAAAAAGGAAGTCTGATGTTAAAATATTCATAAAAGGGTTAAACTTAGAAAATGGTGGTTTGGATATTGGCAATGGGTTAACTCTGGGAAAAGTAAAAAAGTTTTGCTATTTGGGTGATATGCTAAACGCAGATGGTGGTTTAGAATCTGATGTTGTTGCAAGGGTTCAGACAAGCATGAAGAAGTTCAGAGAAATGTCGTATATTCTAACAAATAAAAAAGTTTATCTAAAGTTAAAGGAGAAAGTTTATGTAAGCTGTGTAAGGAGTTGTTTAGTTTATGACGGCGAAACATAAATTAAAGCGGTCTATAAAGCCAAATTGGAAAGAACGGAGATGAGGATGATTAGATGGATGTGTGGGTTATCTCTGAGAGAAAAACTAGCAAGGAATTGCGAGCAAGAATGGGTATAGAAGTGATTGGAGTATTAATGCGAAGAAATAGACTAAGATGGTTTGGGCATGTGATATGTAAGACAAAAGATGGGTAGAGATTACCTTGATGAAAGTAGGAGGATCAAGAGTTAGAGGAAGGTCCAAGATGGCGTGGATAAAGGTGATAGCGGAGGGTATGAGAAAAATGAATCTTACAAATATTGATACTCAAAACCGTCAAAAATGGACAAGAAAAATCAGAGGGTAAACTGGCCAACTTGGGTAAACCTGGAAATCGCCATTAAACAGAGACGAGTGAAATGCTATATTTAATATTTGCGATTCTGTTGAATTTGAATAAAAATATAAAATTTGCGCTTCTGATATTGTATGAGCTTTATTATACTCTTCTAAAATTATTAGCTCTTTCTCTTATTCGTCTTCCATAATATAGGAGAAATCTATTAATCAACAGGTTGTTGTAAACTAGCCATGGCCACTGTTTGTCACATGCCGATTTGCCATGCGATGTAGCCCATAAATGACTCAGCTTTTATTCCGAAATCATCTTCATGGTGGGTAAGATTGATTATATTTTTGAAATTCTTATATTGTGATGCTGCTCTATCCGAAAAGTGGGGCGGCTATAAATTTCTCTCGGTTAAGTAGAGGATTAATATTTTAAGAATAAATGAATGGCAATTGTATTATGAATGAGATTCCGATATAATTACTTAAGTTAAATAATTATAAGTGTCTTGTAATTGATCGCAAAAGGATATTTCCAAATCCTTGTACTTTACCTTGAATCACAAAGGACGATATATTTTCCTTCATTTAAAATCATTTTAATAGAATTCATGCCTTCCTTAAAAAAAATTTAAACAATCTAAAAATTACAGAGGCAAAAATTCTCATTTTTCGTACCTTTAAGGCTCTGTATCTCGGAAACCAGGTGCGTTAGAGAAATAAAATAAACAGCTTTTTCATTTTTTTACCTATCTAAACATTTCCAGTAATTTTTAACAATTTTAAAAGGGGTCGGCCGAAAATGTGCCTTTTTTGATCGATTTGACATGGAATGGCCTATTATTTTAACCAGATGTAAGGGTAATTTTAATGGCTATCGTATAAGTGGAGGTAAAACAATATAGTAATGAAGAGACATGTTAACATGTTAAGCGTATGATGAGGCGTATCTGTATCAATCAAAAAATAAAAAACGGCACGTAATTAATATATATATAGATTACCATAAATTAACGAAATCAACGAATGCGGATGAAAATAGGGAAAGCGGAAGGGTTGGTGGTGCCTTTAAAAACAAATAGTTTTAGTAATGTAATTTAATGACGAAAAAATAAGATGAACAAATCCATGATAACTGTAAAGTATATTTATAGCGTTTCATTTTAAACTCATTTATTACTTATTCATTTCTATCAACCAATTATAATACCTTTTTTTACGCAATTTCGTTCCATTTTGTGAATTTAACATTATATTTAAAATTCAAACTAATTTTTGTTTTGTACTTGGTTTGTTTTATTTATGTAAACATTTATACTCTCAAAAAAAATATATATTTGTATCTGGAAAGGAAATTTGTTAAGAAAAAATAGGATTGGCAAAAAAGTTGATTTTTATTATATAAATCAATTTTTTTTAAATATATAAATCGTGATTCTAGTATTAACTTTTTGAGTTTTAAGATTAAAATCTTTTGTTAAACATAGTATTTAATTCTTAAATAAAAAAATTTCATTTAAATCTGTCATGTCATTATAAAAAAAATTAATTTTGAAGGTAAACCCGAATCAAATAATACAAATAAAATTTCCTAGCGCAATTTTTTAAAAAAAAGGCAACCTCATTAACAATGTAATCTAGCAATTCGAATATCGACATTTTCTGTATCACTGGTTGATTGACTGGTATTATTATAATATAAAAAGAGGTTATGCGATAATAATTGAAAAATTAATTTAAGAATATTTATTTATGTTAGGTTTAGTGGGAAAACACTCTTATTTAATAATTAATACGAGGTTCTCCCATAATTGTTAATTGTAGCACCTATCTTGAAAAACTTTCATTAAAAAACATTGAAAAAGTTTTAAAATGATTAAGATGACAATTGTGACCCTTATGAAATATAATATTATTAAATTTTATTACAAATATTCTTAAAAAAAGATTGAAAGTTTTTAAAATGACGAATATGACAATTGTCACCATCTGAATTATATTGTTATTGAATTTCCACTAAAAGAGATCTAAAATATTCTTTATTACCTATTTTATTTTCTTTAAAAAACACTGGACACGTTTTATAATGACAAATATGAAAATTGTATTGAATTTACACTAAAACAGATTTAAAATATTCATTTTTACCTAATTTTATTAATAACATTGTAAAAGTTTTAAAATGATAATATGACAATCGTCACCTTTCTAAATTAAATGATTATTAAATTTACAATAAAACAGAGGTTAGCCTATCAAAATCAGTTTAAGGCAACCTTAGCCAATCAAAATCGGCTTAAGCTTTGCCAAAAAAATCGGTATAATAGGCTAAGCCGATTACTCAACTAGCATAGAATTTTAATTAATTTTTTTCCCTAATACTTTTTTATTATTTTCTTAAATAATAAAATTTTTCTAAATCGGGCATCGTTCCACCAAAACATAGGTAGGGAAATATATTTTTTATGCGGCCTTTAACAATATTTATTTGAGATCTAGGCTCGTTTTGTGGTGGGCTAAATCTTTAAAAAGCTTATAGGGAAAGCTTAAACTGAAAATATTTTTTTTCCTCTATTTTAATGTTATACACTATATATAAATATTCAGCAATATACTTTTAAAAGGAAGAATAAATAGGGATTTTTTGGAACATGGACAGGTATATTTTATTGACATCGCCAGCCCGGGGCTCTAGTATTTTATATATCCTGAAAATAACCTATATTACAATAATGGAATATTTAGAATATCTTCCCCATTTTTTAGAGATTTTTTTTTATAAAACTCAACTGAAATAATCAATAATATTTTATAGAATTTCGAGGATAAAAAGCAGAGCACTCTAATACAATCGAAATTCAAATTGTGGGGGGGGGGGGCACTTTAAAATTAACATATATATGCGGTATCCCTTTTATAATTGAATCTAATTATATTGTCATCAGGGTAGTTTCAGTGTTATTGGCTTGAGGGGGGTTTTGGGGGGTTTGAATATAAGAAATTAAAATGGAAACCCATATGTATTCGATAGATTTTTATAACGAATGAGGAAGGAAATCCTTCAGGACTAGGCATTTTTATAGGATATCTGTGAATATTATAAAATCAAGATAAACTTTCGGGGGATTCCGGAATTGGTGGAATAGGATAACGTCCAAGAGCCATTTCCACCAATGAGAGGCCCAAACTCCAAATGTCCGATTGGACCGTGTACTGATTGCCTTGCAATCTTTCTGGCTTTTTTTAAAAGAGGGAGATTAAAAAGTGGTGCAATGGTGCTTCGCACATAGCCATTTAGCATAAAGGTGCCAAAGGATCAAATATTCAAATTATATAATGAGCAAATGTAATAGTAAATTATAAATTTTATGAGAAAAATAACTAGCAACATGCCGTTTCGCCTAACATTGCCAAAGGACTAAGTTGAATACTCAAATTAAAAAAATGTAATAGTAAATTAGAAGAATTTAATTGTAGACGAGCAAAATACTAGCAAATTAACAAAATAGCGTGAAAAGTATTTTTAAGAATGTTTCACGCGTTTTGCCTAAATGTGCCAAAGGACAAAATTTAATACAAATTAATAGCAAATTATAAAATGAGCAAAAATAGTAGCATAGCAAAATGCCATTTCACCTAAAAGTTCCAAGGGACAAAATTTAATAGCCAATAATTATATAATAAATGAGAAAATTTATATTGTAAAAAATATTATATTTTGGCACTCTTTTAGGTGAAATTCGTTTTTATTAGGTGAAATGGTTATTTACAAAAGCACCTAAACCAAATAAGTATATAGCGTCTTAAGCTCATTAGCTTCTTTGTATAAATAACCTAGAGCCCTTGACTTCATAAAAATACTCGCTTATATTATGCTTAAAGAAAAAGGGAGTCAAGACATGTGCAACTTTTCCTCCTTTTAGGCACTTTTAAAATTTCAAGATGATTGATTGCCTACTTGATACTTGTTCTTGTTCTTTTTAAAATTTTCATATTCTAAAAAGTTATATGAAAACATGGAAAATTTTGTAGCCACTATTAGAATGCATTCTATTCATGATAATTTTTAAATTCATATTCCCTTTTAATTGAATCTTAGTTTAAAAAAAAATGAAAATGTGTTGAAACTAACTGCCATATAAGATCTGGTTCCCACGAAGGTATTCGCCATAGAGTCTATCAACTGACCGCTCACACCGAAATCGCATATTTTGATTTCCCCTCGCGAATTGACCAAAATGTTTGAAGGCTTAACGTCTGTATATAAAAATAGGGGAATAATAATTAATTTGGATTATATATGTTCACTTATTTTGAGAAGAATCCCGAATTTCGGTTTAAGAGATTGCAGATATCCCTATAAATTTTAATATCATTTTTAATCAATATGGATAATGTAAATTAAACGATTCTAACTTAATTAAACACGTCCTAAGAACCATTTAAAGCAAATCCTTCATACCCCCTTAAGCGATTAGGTTCTTCCTGTCAGCAGGCTAAGCCAACAGCCCCAATAATTTAGGTATTCATTAAAATTTTAGCCCAACTTAACTCTCCATCCAATAATAAAATCATTATTTCAATTCCAATTAATCAAGTATTAGACTAAATTTTTAAGACTTAAACATCCTAAGTTAGTAATAAGCCCATTCAATTTGATTTTTAATTCCACACCCTGCTTCAAAAAAAATATAAAGTTTAAATAAAGCTATGTTCATAGAAAAGCAGTGAATTTGCCCTATTTTCCAGGTAAAATTGGCAATTTTTTCTAAGGAAAATTGGCAATTTTTTCTAAGGAAAATTCCCACCCCGTTTATGTAAAATAAATCGAAACTAATAAGTATTATATACCTCGATGCATAATTTGATGTTTTTCGCGCAGGTAAATGAGACCTTTCAATACCTTGATTTAATAATTTTTAGGAAAAAATAATATTTGGGGAAGGTATTGTATATTGGGCAGTATATTCTTCTTGGCTAGTTTGGTACGATTAAGTGAATTTTATTTTGTAATATTGTGCAAAGAAATTTGAACCACTCTTCCAAGGAGTGAAAGAGATGGTCCCAATATAAAAGGAAAATGCGTATAATCAGGGTTTTTTAATAACTAACAAAGCAAGCCAGAACAGACCTAAAAAGATTTTAAAAAAGGGGGGTGGGAGCACTTTTTACAGATCTCTAATGCTTAGAAAGAAAGTTAAGGTTCTTTTTCAAAGAGTGAGTGCCTACTCGTCCTCTAATTAGTATAAAAAAGAGACACGATTGTTTGAAAAAGGGATCAGGTGACTAAAAAAGCTTAATATACAGATAGAGCCCAATAATAAAAAATGTAACATTATAATTTAATCCTATATTTCAAATGAAATAGTATAATAATAAATAATTATAACTGCTATAGTGATTTTCGCCAAAATATTTTCGGGAATCCGGCCTAGCTTTCGTTGCACTAGGTCCAATGAGCCCCCGTCCTATATATACACCATAAAAGAATAAGAAAAATTAAGGATTTATAAATATTATGAAATGAGAATGCGGTTTCTTATCATTCGTAAAGGGGTTCTAAACATTATCAATCAAATAAATTTATAAGGAAGGTTATTAAACTTAACTACTTTAATTCAGTCTCCTCCCAGCTTGATTTTAAAATTTAATATCCTACAAATTTTAATATTATCTAATATTTCCCATTAGAATATTTGGACGAGATTACAAAAATTATTTAAAACTAAGGGTCACTGACAATTACTATATTTGTACATCATAACTTAATTATGATATATTATATATTATTTATTAGTTTTTAGAAATATGATAAACCATATATTCCATGCAAATGCTAATTTCTCTATCATTGTAAAAAGCACCGTAAAAGCCAACTATTTGAGGTGAATTGCAATCGTGTAGTACCTTTGAATAAATAAATGTTTTAAAATAAAAGGTCAACCTGTTTATAAAATGTTTGTTTTATAGTGATAAGAAATTTAATTAACCAGAACTACTTTTTTTGCCAACACTGACAGATATCAGGCTAATATCATAGATCAGTGCTCTATGTTACTAACTAATTAACAATTTAACACCCCCCCCCCCAATGCCCCAAATAATTTTTATTGGCGCAAAGTATAATATGGGAATACCAAATATCTAAGCAATGTTTTTAGCTGGGTAAAAATTTTAAATTTTATTTAATACTATCTTTGAATGTTGTTATAGCGAAAAAAAGCAGCCCAAATAAAAATTTTATTGAATTTTCTCTGCATAAAGCATTTTTAAAGCAAAATTAAGGTAATATATATCTTTTTTAGTTGTATTTAGTAATATTTTATGCATTTATGATCAATTTATACCAAAATCAGATATCTGTACCCACTTTTTTAATTTGTACTCTTTTTGAATTGAGCATTTTTGAAGCAAAATTGATTTAAAATGCAATAATTGGTAATTTTTTCATATTTTTTATTAATATTTATCTTTTTTAGATGTATTTAAAAATATTTGTTCTTTTAATCAAATTATATCAAAATATATGATTTTCCAATGGAGTACCTTGAACTGAACCCGTAGTATGGGCAATAAATAATAATGCCAAATAACGAGTAGGAAGAAGAGAAGAATTATTTTTTTTCGCTCTTAATTTTTCATAAACATTTAATTTCTTTCATTAATTTTTTTTTAAAATTGGATTTTAAATATTATTCAAATTCCCTCCTTATATAATATTCTACAAAAAATTAATGTCGAGGTCCCCTTGTTTAAAGTGTGTCTCTAAATTTTGTTACATCTGTGCGGGCTATATATTGTCCGCACAAAAATGTCCAATTTCTCCAATCATTCAAAGGATTTATGAAATTTATTACAATATTCCACTCTGCGATTTAGATAAACCATTTGCCCCTAATTACATATGTAAAACATGTTATAATTCTTTTAATTCATGGGTAAACGGAAAACGGTCATATTTTCCTTATTCGAAACCTGCATTTTGGCACGTAGCTAGAAATCATTCGTGGGATTGTTATTTTTGCTCGATTAGAACATTTGAGTTTAACAAAAAAAATAAGAAGAAAATTCGTTATCCTGAAATTTCGTCGGTTGTTTATCCGGTAAAATATAATATGCATACAACAGTTCCTTTTTTTAATAGTTCGCAGCTGGAAAAATTACGTTGCCAGGTCAATGACAATATTGATCTTGAGTATCATCCCGAAGAGGATTGACCATTTATATCACAAGAGCAACTAAATGACATAACCAGAAATTTACAACTTTCAAAAAGAAAGTCCAAATAGCCTCAAGGCTTAATGATTTTAAAATTTAAAAAAATGGAGTTCGACTTCAAACCGATTCCGTGGAGCATCGTTTAAAAATTGATTCTCTTACAAAATATTTTTATACTATTCCAACAATCTAGGTCAACTTTTTTTACAACTTAATATTGAATTGGTGCCCGATGAATGGTGCTTGTTCATCGATTCAAGCAAAAACAGCTTGAAAGCAGTTTTGCTTCATAACGGAAATTCTAAGCCTACAATTCCCATCGCCTATTCCAACCAGTTAAATGAATCATATGAAATATTTATTGTCAAAAATAAATTATTCCATTTACGAATTTAAGATATGCTGCGATCTCAAAATGATCGCAATCCTGACGGGCCTTCAGTTAGGCAACACCGAGCATTTGTGTTTTCTTTGTCTCTGGAATTCCAGAGAAACTCTAAAACATTATACAGTATCTGAATGGGAGGATCGTCCCAACGTTCTTGAAAAAAATCGCGTAAATATCCCGCTTGTTTCTAAAAATAAGATTTTGTTACCTCTGTTGCACATAAAATTAGGACTAATCAAAAATTTTATAAAAAAATTGTCCGAAGGCCCCACGATATACCTTAGAAATTTTTCCCCCAAGCTTTCCCAAGCAAAAATAAAAGAGGGGATTTTAGTGGGCCCTATAAGAAAATTCATGAAGGACAGTTTTTTTGAAGATGAATTGTTACTCATTGAATTAAAAGCATGGGAATTTTTTAAATGGATATGCAAATCGTTCCTTGGCAATCATAAATCAGCTGACTATGGTGAGAAAATTGATGACCTATTAACAAATTATAAGGAAATGGGATGCCGAATGTCCCTCAAAATCCATTTTCTTCATTCCCATAAAGATTTTTTTCCTGAAAAAGAAATGGGGGAGCGGTTCCATCAACAGATAGAAAATCTCGAAAAGTTTTATCACGGCAAGAATTGTATAAATATGTTGGCGGACTACTGCTGGAGTATCTTTTTTGAAGAAAAATCATCAACTTCATATTCGCGGAAATATATTTAGATTTACCATTAAATATTTTTAAATTCGATAAATTTTATGTTATTGTTTAATTTGTTTTAAATTCAATAAATTTATTGTATATTACAAGTTAAATCCTATATAATAATGAAGGAGGGGGTGGGACAACGGACCGATAAAAGGTTTATTAAAAGTAAAATATGAGATAGGTTAGCTTAGCATAATATATTTATTTAAATATGAGAAATATAACTATTTCATTTAAAATAAATTGTTTGGGAATCGTACCGTGTGCAGTGTAGCGAAGAGAACCAAAGCCACAATAAATAAATATATTAAATGTAAGTAAGCTATATTAAAAAAGATTTTATAAATAAAGGTAAAATTTAAAAAATATAGGTTGTTTAAAAATTGAGTAAGGATTTTATAAAAAAAAATGTATAATAAAAGGAAGGTTTGCTGCAAAAATTAAGATATTTTTTTAGTTGTAGGGATCATTAGAACCGAAGTTAAAAACCTTCAAAAAGTGCTAAAAATGACCTTTTTGGCCACTTTAACCTAAAATAAATAAAAAACCTAACGTGCTAGAAAAAAACTGACAGCGGATTTAGAATATGCATAAAAAACTGTCTTAAAACATGTTTATTTTATTTTCTCACAAAAAATCAAGTCGAAATTTGTCATACAGTGTAATTTAATGATAAATTTTTCCAATTTATAATCTTTTTTATTAAAAAGAGTTTATTAAAACCAATTTAAAACAAAGGTCATATAAAAAACAATTAACGATTATAAAAATATAAGGCATATATATAAATTTAAAACAAACAACTGAATAAAAATTAAATAAAAAAAATAATTAAGAGATCGGTTTATTTACATTGCTTTTGGAACCATGATTATCAGCAATTACTTTGATGAACAGCCATCGTAATGGCTTGTTTGAAAAAGAATGATTAATTAAGATCACCACTTATTTGGCTTAATTTTCCCCTAATAATGAGATAAAAGGAATTCTTCACCAAAAACACCAAGAGTTTTGGTGACAAGTGGGATAAAAATCAGGTTAGTGATGTCTGAATATTTGTTTATTTTCAAGAATTCTGCCAAATTAATAGCTGAGATATTTCTGTTGGATCGTGCCAAAAAATCGATGCATGTGCAATCACAAGAAACCGGAAGACCAAGGTATTAGGGTAATACCAACGAGTCTTCTGTTGTCGTTTGAGCATAAATGAGAGCTCTAAGGTATTTGGGATATTTGGCCTCTTTAAGAGCTCTTGCGATCAAATTATTTATGTTTTTACGCCGTGGGAAGCGGCCTTTATGTTTTATAAAAAAATATTATTTTTTTAGTGCAAAATTAAATCAAAAAATATATTAAATTGACTTTTAAAAGGGTTTAATATTTTATATCAGACCATGATATCGACCAAAAACAAAAAATTATGAGTATGGGTAAATACCACAATGGTCCTAATGAATATTTGGGTAACTCACTGAATCACTGGAAAAAAAATTTTTTTTTATAAAAAAATAATAAATATAAGATCGTCTGGATTTTGGTAGAAATTTTTTAATGGAAGGGGTAAATTAAATATTGATAAATCTTAAAAATATTTTTCCAAGTTATAACAATCTGAATGAAAATGGATATGATCATTACTCTGTCAATCATAGCTAAAACTTTATAGACCCTAATGATATATCAACCCACACTCAACGTATTGGGCGTTTATGGAGGGATCTTAAGCAAGCATCCCCGGAAATGGAAGAAAATCTTCCTCACATTTATATATATGTAATGAATATTCCTATTTTCGTAATATTAAAAATTTGTCTTATATAAATAAATTATTTAAATTTTTGAATGAAATAAGTTTATATAAAACTATTTTTGTTTTTCCTTAAAAATATAATATATATCTATATTATCATTGTATATATATTATGTTTATTCAAATAAATTGATTTATTATCTAGTATTTGATTTAATAGTAAATTGTAAGAATTATGAAAATTTTCACAAATAAAATACTCCGTTTTTTTAGATTCTTAAATATATTCCGTTTGTCAAAATTTTTAAATACACTCCTTTTTTTTTAATTTTTAAATATACTCCGCTTTTATTGTAAAATTACACCAAAAAAATATCCAAACGATCTTATATTTATTATTTTTTATAAAAAATAATTTGTTTTTTAATATTTTTTTATTATTTTTTTTTAAGAAATAACCTTTATTTTTCATCATCCAAAACAAACAAAGAAATCAATTTTTTATAAAACAAAAATATATTATTATAATATATAATAATACTATAAAAAAAAGAACGGAGATGGTGTGGCGCAAGGAAACAAAAATGAAAAAGGGACGTAAGTGTTGTTTAGGATAGCTCTTTGGCTAGAAGACTACCATTGAAACTGATATAATTAGCTTTGAGAATCGCTATGGATAGTCGTTGACGAAGAAAAAAACCCTCTCGAGGTTCTTCTGAGAGTTTGCTGATTTGTGATCCTAAGTTTTTGAAAAATGCTAAGGCGAGTTTGCCGAAGGTGCCAAGAGTGGTTGATATGATTGAGATGAAGCAATGATCGTTCATTATTTCTGTGTATTTAGAAGTTTT